TGTGGCCCTCATCTCTTGGTACCTGTTATGGTTAATTTTATGTGTCAACTTGGCTAGGCTACGGTGCCCAGTTGTATGGTTAAATACTAGTCTAGAGGTTACTGTGAAAATATTTTATAGATGTGATTAACATTTACCATTAGTTAACTTTAAATGAAGCAGATTATCCTCCATAATGCTGGTTGGCCTCCATTCCCAAAATCAATATCTTCATGTCCTGCTCCTTCTTCCCCAGAGATAATAAACAAAATATTAAATTAGTTCTTGCTAAAGAGTTAATAATTGGTGAGAAACTTTGTACAGCAGAACTTAAAAAGCATCTACTGAAATCTAACACAGTATTTGTATAGACAAAACCATAAAACATTATGCTGAATTAAAATGGGCTGTCTTCCCATCACTGCTGATTATTAGTTAATTGCTACATGTCATGCAGCTCTAAACACGATTAGAAAGACTTGGACCAATCAGAAAATAATTTTGAATGCAAGTAAACACGCAGGACACAAAATAATGTATCAGCATTATATATGTGTTAAAATATGTATGTAAATGGCAAACATGAATGGAAATACTGATAAATAAAACACGTAATTGTTTTTTTAAAAAGAGCATCTACTGCACATTTGACAAGCGTATGGCCAGGGCCCATGACTTCTCCTCATCCCACACCCAAGGCCACGTCATTTATCAGTCACCACGATTCTCGCCTACAAATGGTCCCCTAAACCATTCTCATCTCTCCTCCAGGCATCCCTATGCTTGAGAAGAGGCCTGTTTGCCCTTCTGGATTTGGTCCAGTCTTCTCAATTTACAGGTGGCAAAACCGAAACCTAGACAGGCAGTGAACCTTACCGGTGTTTATGTAGCTAGCTCACAGAAAAATTTGAATCTAAATCTCCTGAATTTGAGTCATGACCACTTTTTTATAAAAAGTAAATGTTTCAAGCATAAAGCAAAGTATAGAGAATAATATAACTGACTACCTGTATGCCCACCACCCAGTTTAAGAGACTGAATTTGGTGTTTATTATTTCCATGCTGATTTTATACTTGTCGTTCATGTGAATGTTTCCATAAACACTACTAAGGGATTGTTTGCATGTTTTAAAATTGTTATTATATTTTCTGTATCTTTCTGCAATGTGTCTTTCCTCTCAAAATTGTATTGTTCAGATTTGTTCATCTCAAAAATATATCTAGTTTTGGTTCTTTCATTTTTAATTACTATATAGTGTTTCTGTCCATCTATTCTATTGATGCATATTTGGTTGTTTTCAATTTGTTGCTGTTATAAGCGATGGTACCCAAAACCTTTCTTTACCTGTCTCCTTGGGCTTGCATGTGAAAGTATTCTATGATATATATCTAAGTAGTCCTGACCTCCTTACATCATATCACATAGTCTCAGGTAGTCTCAGGTAAGTGTCTGGGAGGAGATGAGACAGAGACAGGAGCGTCACTCTTTCACCTCCACCACTCTCCCCTCTCCCCTGGGTTAGAAGGAGAGAAGGGAACTATATATAGTTCGTAGTGGTGGTGTGTGTGTGGGGGGATTAGTCCAATTTCTTTAATTTGACTTTTAATCAATATAGTTACTTAAAAAATTTTTTTAGATACCCTTAAAATAGGGGATGAGATTTTCTGGTTGAAAATGCTTGTGACATCCTGTTAATCAAAAAAAGCTACTTTCTTATAGTGCAATGTTTGGACCGTGTGGCAGGCTGTAAGGTAAGACATTCAGGATGGCAAGCCTTTGAGCATTCCTCAGTTCTTCAAATAGATGTTTCTACCTTAACTACACAGCTCCTAAGCTCTTTCTCTGACAGTATTTTCTCTCTAGGACAGCGGTTGCAAACTGATCACTTACAGGCCCAATTAGCCTATGGGCATATTTAACTTGGCTTGTTTGGTATTTCAAATACTTTCAACCAGCATTTAAGAACTAGAAGATTTTATATAAAAATCTGGATCTCCATCTTCTCTGGCAGCGATAGGCTAATACTGAGTTGAGAAGGCATGTACTCTGCAGTTTGTTGCAGTCCCCACCTCTCCCTGTCTAGTTACATCAGGCCCTTTTCACTCATTTCATCATGCCTGGCCTGGTGGGCATCTGAGTTTATTACCTCTGCTCTCAGGCCTTTCAACATTTTCCCCTAGACTGAGCAGCTGAAGTAGTCACTTATACAAAGACTCTGAGCTCATGAAACTCAGACGAACACTGGTGCCTCTCCTGGAAATTTACCTCTAGGCCAAACAGGCCATTTTACAGGAATATAGGATTTTCATTTCTCAAGAAATGGGTGTTTCGATCCGGCCTGCCAGTGTTGATCTGAAACTTTTCTGAGTCAAGAAAATCACATTGCTGATTTAGAGAAGCTCAGTATAACCAGACCTCAGTACAGTCCTACCCTACATTTGTTCCTTGGTTTGGTTCCCAGGGTGTGTGTAGACAGTGACAGGATGTACTTTCAAGAATGGCTGTCAGGCCAGTAGTGGGAGATGGGGAGGGTGCAGAGGCCAATTTCATTCCTTTCGGTCGTATTTTGTGATTATGAACTGCCATGTCTTATATATGAGCCAGACACAGACTCTGTAATTGGAAGGTTTCTAGGGTTGTTATAATTAGTGCCTCTGGAATTTTGGTGCTATATTCAGCAGAAATCTAAAGTGAGTATTTCTGAATATTCTCAGTGGCTGGTACGAAGTTATTTAGAAACTTGGAATGGCTGTCAGGCCAGTAGTGGGAGATGGGGAGGGTGCAGAGGCCAATTTCATTCCTTTCAGTCATATTTTGTGATTATGAACTGCCATGTCTTATATATGAGCCAGACACAGACCCTGGAATTGGAAGGTTTCTAGGGTTGTTATAATTAGTGCCTCTGGAATTTTGGTGATATATTCAGCAGAAATCTAAAGTGAGTATTTCTGAATATTCTCAGTGGCTGGTACGAAGTTATTTAGAAACTTTTATAATTTGCCTATGATCATTTTGGTGGGCTCATGAACTCATGTGTTACACAATGTGATTTCCTAGATTACAAAAGGAGAAGTAGCTTTTTCCTAAAAAGCTAGAAATATCTATTTTCCAACATGACCCAGGCCTGTCTGACCTCCAAACGCTGTTTCCATAGGGTCTAATCTGTCCATCCAACAAGCCTGAATGATATCAGCAACCCCACTTTTTTCGACCTCCACATCACATCCTTTCTCTTCTACAAATTCCAGCTCTGAGCCTGTCAACCTCAAGAAGAGAGTAATATTTGCTTGGTACTCTTGACTCACAGCCTCCAACAACGTACAGTTAGTGCACAGCTTAACAACAGGGATATGTTCTAAGAAATACATCATTGGATGAGTTTGTCATTGTGCAGACATCATAGTGTACTTACACGACTAGATGGTATAGCCTACCACACACCTAGGCTCTATGGTATAGCCTGTCCCTCCTGTATGAGTAAAGTGCTACACTATGCCTTTATGACAGCTGCTCTGGGACCACCATGGTATATGCAGTCTGTGGTTACATGGCACATGGCTGTACTTAATCATTGTTGCAAAAACATCAGCGTTGATTGCATTACAGTTGAATATCTTCTCCTTGCTCTTAAATTGGTACCATGTTTCTAACTGTGTGAGCCCAGAGGTCCTGCACAGTATTGTCCAGGAGTGCCCGGGAATGTAGACTGAGCAAAAGACAGTGTGATGGTGCTGAGGCTGTACAGCAAGACACTATCTTTGCTCTCCAAGAAAGGTATGGAGCAATGCAGGATTGCAAGAACAAGCCTGAGCTGCAATGCCACCGAACGGGAAGATTCTGTATCAGTTGGAACTATTCAGTTGCCTTTTGTGAATTAACAGAACAGTGGTTATTTCTTAATTTGAGCTGGGAGAGAAAAGGAGGTGAAAAAGAAAAGCGAAATTATGCATACTCACAGCTATGTTCACTTCTGTCTTTACTGTTGTAACAGATCTTTTTGTTGTGTCTGAAAGAAAATCCCAGAATGGAATAAGATTAATGAGAAAAATGTTCTGCTTATAGACTAAACTATGGCGCAACAAAAAGTAAGTCCAACTAAATCCACATACAGAAGTCCAAATGTTCACTAAGGCTTGGGACGTCAGGCTGGGTAATGCATAATATAAAATCTGGCCCCTGGGCAAAGATTATGAAGAAAGAAGTTCTTGGTTCCCAGGCACTCAAAGGCTGAGGGGCTGCTAACTTGGATGTTCACCCCAGGAAATACCTGGCTCCAGAATTATCTCTTCATCTTCTGCTTTAGTCTTTTTTAAAAAATTATTTTTAAAAATTTATTTATTTATTATTATTATTTTTCTTAGTTTTACATTCTAACATTGTTGTGGAGCAGTTGAGGGGAGGAGGAGGGGGATAGAGTGTGAGGAGGGGGAAGGGGGGCGTACGGTCAAGGCCCACGGAACTCCCCCTCATTCCAACAGGGGAAACCAGGGGGCTTCCAGTGCTGGCTCAGTCCTTGCTGAGCTGGGTGTGGACATTGGAGGAGTGTGGCTGAGGCCGTTGGCCCCTCACTGCCCTGGCTTGGGAGCCTGAGGCCCTTCCGGTGTTTGCTTGGTGGTTGTCGCTGGGCTGGATGGGGGGTCCGGTGGGGGTGTGGATGAGGACCATGACCTGCCCCCCTACCTGGCTTGCGAGCCCGGAGGCTTCTGGTCCTTCTAGGTTTTATAGGTGTCCGTAGGTGGTGTTAGACCTTTACTGGTTAATATCAAACGTTGTCTCCGATCTGTGGGTATTTTGTTTTTTCTTTCAGTTCTGTGTTGGATTATTCGCTGTTTCCACCACTTAAACTCTGCACTGGAACTAATTTGTTGTCCTTTGGTTACATGTCAATGGGGGAACTTCCTATGGGAAATAGCACTTGAGCCCTGTAGTTGAGCTAAATTGCTACTTTGCTTCTGATTCTCTGAGGAAGGCTTTTTGTGCAGCTCAGGTTTTAATTGATGACCTTGTGATCACTTCTGGATCTTGTGGGGTCTGGTACACCTGGGTTGTGTGGAAACTGTGGTCTTGGCCTGAGTCTTTTCAGCAAACTGCAACCCCTGCAGTTCTATATTCCTAATCCGTCTCCACTGAGTGGTCCTATGCTGATTGGAGGACAAATCAGCTTTCCATCTTGTACCCCAGCGTCCCTCTGGTGGGCATGTCTCCCCCTCTGCCCGCACTCCACTTTCCATGGGGCGGGCTGGAGGCTGGTCCTTTGCAGTGACTCATTGGCCTCTGAGTGGCTTCTTTTTTCCATTGTCTGTGGCCCCTTGCTCCTATGTGGGTCCACAGGAACCTGGTTAGTGGTCTTGCTGACCTGGGAGTCACTAAGGCCCTCTTCTCCCCTGTAGCCTCCAAGAAACTTCATATGAAGGGCACAACTGTGGCTTTTGCCAGCTCTTGATCCGTGTGCTCTCCAGGGCCAGCCTTGAAGCAGCTGGGGCTGGAAATCATTGTAGCAGTCCTTTCTTTCTCTCATAGTGGCTTCTCCTGCCTTCATGAACTCTGTAGGTCTCTCCTCCTCTTCCTCTGAGCTCTAGTGGCCCCAGCTTTTCTGTTGTTGCTTTTTAATAGTTGTAAATTGGTTGATTGTTGGAGAGAGTGATGCTGGGGACTGTCTATTCCACCATCTTGACTGGAAGTTGGCTTTAGTCTTGATTGCCACTTCCTACCAGCCTGCTCTGGCACAGATCAGAAGGTCTGATCAATTACTTTGCACTGAGGTGTAAGTGACTTGGGGCAGAAGAATAAGTTCACATAATGGGATGTGGCTCACTGCTAAGTTTCCCTGGTTTCATTTCTTTCTAACTCTTGATTTCACATGTTCCCTCCCATTGATTCCTTTCCAGGTTTTGATGCCCAACTCCTGCCAATGCCTGGGTTCCTGAACTCAGTACATCCCTAGTTCTGCTTTTGTACCCCATTTTTGGTAACTTCCTCATGACCATCCTGACCTTGGCCTTGAATTTGAGGGTCTCTATTCAACATTGTAGTTTATGCCAAGAGAGTTTGCTTTTCAAAGGAGCCCCCTGGTTAACCCATAGGAATTGCTCTTCAGTGTTGGCTTTTCAGTGGACGCCTCTCTAACCTTTCAATGTTGTCATTATCAGTGGGCCTTAGAGGCAACCACTAACCAGCATATTTGGCCTTTGGTTTAAATCCCTATAAAGTTCTGGCTCAGTCTTCTAGGGCAGAGCCACTCAAAGTCTCATCTGTGGCCTGCTGCTACTAGGCAAACTTTGTTACAAGTCCAGGATGAGATAAGTACAGAAATCAAGTATAAACATGTAGAAACTTTTATAGTAATTCCTTACTATGTTATGTTCTTTTTTCTTATTATATTTATTGAATCTAATAAAAATTTGGCTTATCTTTTTATGTCTTTGTCCTTTTCATTACATTTTTTATGAATTCATTTATACTGTATATTATAAAAGCATCAATCCCACATATTGGAAAATTTAAAAAGCTAAACAAACTGGTTGTTCACCAGAGAGTTTGAGAAATACTGTCCACAAGAGCTGCAGACCTGTTCTACAGACCTATGTTCTATAGCAGGTGACCCCTACTGGATCCTAGTTTGTCTTTGCCATTGGCCCAGTAAGTCAATGAATGAGCTACTCAATTCTTGGTGAGCAGAGGCTTGCTTTCTCCTTCCATTGCCCAAAGACAATACTGTTTAGATTGTGCCAATTTTTACTAAGCAATTTTGCAACAAAAAGGCCACAAATTTGGGAGTCAGACAGACCTATGTTCAAATCCTAGCTGAATGACTTTGGGAAGTCAGACAGCTTTTCTGAACCTCAGTTTTTTCATCTGCAAAAAAAGTCACTACTCTCTGCCTCAAGCAATTTTTGTGAAATGAAGGAAAGAAGTTTGTAAAGGGTGTAGCACCGTGCTATCCATGGAGCTTTCTGCAGTGGTGGAAATGTTGTATGTCTGCACTGTCCAATATGATAGACACTAGCTGCATATAGCTACTGAACACTTACAATGTGTGAGCACTTGATGAATTGAATTTTTACTAAATTTAAATTTAAATAGCCACAGATAGCTATTATATTGGACAGAGCAGTTTTAGCAATACTCACCTGTGTATAGCAGGTATAATGTTTAAAATTTTATTGAACATCTAGTCTATGCCAGATAATGTTTTAGACACCGGGCATATATTGGTGAACAAGAAAAACATAGTTCCTGTATTCCTGAAACTTAAAGGCTAGCAGATGAAGCAGAACTTGACATTATTTTTGCAACAGAAGTTGCCAACTTCTCTGGAACCCAGCAGGTCACCCTGGAGCGTTGAATTGTTGAATGGTTCCTCTTAGGGGGAAATGGTAAACAGGACCTTTTATAGACCAACAGTGGCTACCCTCCCAATACACCTTAGTGTGCAGAGCTGGTTGCTGAAGTATAAGAGGGTAAATCTGTTTAGGAGCCAAGGAACCTTCTAGAAGGAAAGGGACCAAGACCGTTACCTCTTTACTTGACTCTCCAATGGACTAAGAAGTTCAGGACAATAATGGCCATAAGAGGAACTGAAGAGAAGGAAGTTAAGACTGGTGTCCCAGGCTCAACATGAGGGCTGACAGTGGAGGAGGCCGGCTGTGCACAGCTGTGGCTAAGGCAGGAACCTCTCTTCCCTTATCAGCCCATACTTTGGGACCAATAGCAAAGTATGTGAGGGGGAGCCAGAGAGTTGTAATCTTGTGTCATTATGGTCTGTGTGGGGATCTGGACCAGCAAAGGTAGCTTTGCATAGTGGATGGAGACACCTGGAGGGAACAGAGATTCTTCATGGCAGAAGTAGAAACTGCAACAAGTCAAAACCAGAGTCCTCTGCTGGACTGACCTAGCTCCCTATAGCTTTCCTGCCTGTCTGGAAAGCACTGGCCCTGTGGTCTAAGTAAGCCTCCTGACAGTTTGTGGGAGTTGGGGAAGTACATGCTGTGAGAGGGAGACATTGGGTTTCTTGCTAAGATGGGCAGGTGGGTGCTTGAGAAACTAACTGTAAAATTAAAAGGGATGCAATTGCATTTGTAGCCCAAGCTATTAAAACAGCTGCTGGACATGTAATTGCATGCTGAGTGTATTCAAAGAAGTAGGTGCTATGGAAGCATGCAACAAGAGGATTTAACGTAATGGGTGTGGTGAGGGGAGTAGAATCAGGGGAGGCTTGATGAAGTGACAGTTTAGCTGAGATCTAAAGGATGACTCCAACTCAGGTGGACAAGAGGAAGAAAGCATTTTCAGAGGAAAGAATACTCTATGAGAAAACTCAGAACTGAAAGAGTGGGATGCCTCTGAGGACTGGAAAATCCTATATGGCTTGGACAATGAAAGTGACAGTCAGACCACCCAGGGATTATTGGAACTTCAGCCAGTGAGCAATGGGAAGCCATGGAAGAGGTCTGAATGGAGGAGACATGACAGACTTGTGATTTTAAAAGCCTGTTCTAGCTAAAAGTGAGAAAAGAACATACTGGAAGTGGCAGGCTTGGATTTGGGGAAACCACTTAGGAGAGTTCTGCTGTAGTCCAGGTTGATCCACAGTGGTAGCAGTGAGGTAGGATCAATAAGCTATAAAATGTTCATTCTCTTGCTGCTTCCCCTTCTACAGATAAAAAGACCACCTCAAAAAGTTGGGTGATTCATACAAGGTCATAGAACCAATAAATGGCAGCACCAGGTCCAAACCTGGCTAGAAAGCTGGTTTAAAGCTCTACCCACAGTGCCAGCAGTTCTCAACCCTTCTCCATGACATATGAGTTTGTGTGCATGGCAGACACAATTCTACACACGCCTCCATGTATCTCTCATGCAAGAAAGAAATGAGGGAGGGCCGGCCCGTGGCTCACTTGGGAGAGTGCGGTGCTGATAACACCAAGGCCCCGGGTTCGGATCCTATATAGGGATGGCCGGTTCGCTCACTGGCTGAGCGTGGTGCTGACAACACCAAGTCAAGGGTTAAGATCCCCTTACCGGTCATCTTTAAAAAAAAAAAAAGAAAGAAATGAGGGGTCTTCAGACCCCAGGCCTGGAACCTTGGTATAAATCTATTTCCAGGACGTATGTGTGTGGGAGGTAACAGAAGAATAGCAGAAAATAGACTCTAATGAGCTGCATCCACCACAACTCTCTGAGGCCATAGATTCCAGAAGTGATTCTGTTTAAAACTCAAAGTCCTGCTGGACAGATCCTGTCATTTCTCCTTTACTGTGAAGATCCCTTTCCCTCCACTTTTATTCTTTCTTTCTTCTCTTTCTCTCTTTTCCTCCACCCCCTTCCTCTCTCTCTTTCTTTCAATAATAGTTCCTTGAATTCTACAGTTAGAGGGTTTGTGGTCAGCATCTGAACTAACGCACCTGTAGGACAAGTATTTCACGGCAGATGACAATATAAAAGTTATGAATGTAAACATAGGATAATAAACACCTAAAACTCCCCCACCTCAGTCCTCCTATAGTTCTGCACTAAATTCCTATATTATTCCCAGATGTCATTTCCTTTTCTATAGACAAGGCCATGTATAGATCCTGGGAAAAGTTCACTGGGTGCTGACAGAGGGACAGTTTAGGAAAGCACCAGAGAGGCCTGTAGACATCCTGGGGGTTTCACGGGCAGACTCCTCCCAGGAAACCAAGGATGGACACAGGAGCGATTGAATCCTCTGTCTGAGGTTCAAAGGCTACAGGCATGCTTCATCCCAGCGGCACAAGAAAATTGGAGTAGGTTGGTGAGAACAGAGGCTGGGGAGGACTCACAAACCTTTCTCCTCTCCTTATTCAACCAGGGGATTTGGATTCCTGGGAGATAGGGGATAGGTTGAACCCAGAATGGGGAAAAGGGGGTGAGAACTGAAGGAATCCTCAGAAAGGCTCCTGGCAACCTCCCACCAGGAAACTCTGATCACATCGCTATCTGCATTGCCAAAATAACTGCTCTCACGAGGCTGATGAAAGCTCTTGGCTTAAAGAACAAGGCAAGTGATTTCAGCCGTGAGAACAATTCCATATGAGTTCAGCTCACTGAACACTAGAACGACTTTCTTCTGGGGAAAAAAAAGCCCATCAGGATGAGCTCAAAGCATTTCATAAGCCCTGAGGAGATTTAGTATGAAACTGGGAAGCCGCAGGCCCGCAGTGTGAAGCAGAGGCTCACGCTGCAGACATCCAGCTCATTTGGTTACCATGAATAAAAGTCACTTACCTTTTCTAGAACACAGCTTTCGGCAGTGCCGTTTTCTTAGGACTATCACTGCGACTATGAAAATTAAAGCAATGATGCAGGAAGGGATGAAAACGTGAAGCAGCGAAGTCGTAGGGACCTCAGGCTCCTTCTGACCTGGGTGAAGGAAAAGCACCAAAATCCATTACATGGCAGGTCAGCAGCAGATCAACAAGTCGGCCATATGCCAGCTTGTGCTGAACACGTACTCCATGCCGGACACTGTTCTGAGGGCTCCACAGGAATTAGCTCATTTACTTCTCATGACAACTTTGGGAGGTAGGATTTACTAAGACCCCCATTTTACTGGTGAAAAAAAAAGAGGCACAGAGAGGCTAGGAAACTCCCAAAGTTACACAGTAAGTGACTTGGCCGAGACATAATCCAGGCTGTTTCTGATTTCAGAGTCTATGCTTTTTGCCACTCTGATACAAGGGTGCTTCAGAAAGTTCGTGGAAAAATAGAATTAAAGGACAATACAAATCATTCCATGAACTTTTTGAAGTACCCTCGTATTATCTATCATATTCTATCTGTCTGTCTCTGTCACTCTTTCTTTCTCCTTCCTTCCTTCCTTCTTTCTCCTCCTCTTCTTCTCCATCCTCCCCCCCTTCCTCATCTTCTCTTTCTAGTGGGAAAGCCCCTCAGCCCCAAAATGTCTCCCCAATGCCCACCTCTCCCCACCCAGTGACAAGCATTCACAGTGCTTAGAATCTATACCATTAGTTATTCAGTTTCAAGGATTAACAGGATTATTATTATTATTATTTATTTATTTTT